TGTGGTGTGTGTGTGTGTGTGTGTGGTTTGCTGTGTGTGTGTGTGTGTGGTGCTGTGTGGTGTGGATGTGTGTGGTGTGGTGGGTTGTGAAAATGTGGTAGTGGTGTGTGTGTGTGTGTGTGTGGTGTGTGTGTTGTGCTGTGGGGTGTGTATGCTGTGTGTGTGTGTTTGTGTGTGTGTGTGGTGTTGTGTGTGTGTGTGTGTGTGTGTGTGTGGTGTGGTGTGTGTGTGTGTGTGTGTGTTGTGTGGGCTGTGTGTGTGGTGCTTTTCCCTCCTCGTCGCCACTTGGGTCCGGAGTGATCAGAATTAACCTTTTCAGTGTTTCCTCTCTGTTTTGCTATAAACAGGGCCGGCAGCTGATTTATGTGGGGATGGGGGAAGACTCCGCTAGGGAGATTGCATTCTTTGCCTCCCATACACACATCAGGTAGGCGGGCCCATTATTCTGGAGAAGCGTGAGGCAGGGACCGAGGCCTCTAAAATGTGTCGCGTTAATTGTTTCTTAATAGCCCCAGCCCGTTTAACAAGACACTGGGAGGAGCACCTTGCTCACCCTTAACTGGGGTCAAATGGAACCAGCGTTCAGCCTCTCTCCAATATTGGCATGATCACGAGCCTGAGAGGGTGAGACCCTTTTTTAAAGCGCTAAGTATGGCTGATCCACGATGAGGAGGACAGGGTACACATCATAATTGTGTTGACATTAAGAATATAACATGCCAAGAACACTGGGGAATATTGGCGGCGCGTAGCCCAAATTATTAGGCCAAGATTATAAATTATGCTAAATCAGACAGGCTTCAAGTTTTCAATGTCTTTTTGAACAGCTATGATATTTGTTTTTTATTCCCAAATCCAAGTGTCGGTGTCTTTTTTGGAACAACCATTTCGCTGTACTGATTCTGATTTTGTTTTTTCTAGGTTGCACGCCTTATGTTTTTGTGTTAGGAAAAATATCACTCGTCACCGGCTTGGTCTTCAATATCAGGATACATGTATTTATTATCCTTGCAAGAATGGAAGTAGTCATCACACACAGAGCTGCGTGGTAAAACTAGTTCCCAGAAAAGTGTCCTTGACATGCTTATACTGTATACAAGAGAGGGTGTTACACAGTCACAAGATGGAGAATACCGGTTCAAAGCAGTATTCAATTTTTTGTTCAGATTAGCTAAGGCCTGCGTAACCAATAAACATGACAGTCATATGTCTGACTCCATAGAGGCGGAATCATCATGTTAATGGTTGTCGCATAGCTATCATGCCTAAAACAGTGTGTTCTGACGCTCTTCTAGGTAATCATACATCCTGTTACATACACAGCTACGTAGGGCCTTTGTTATCATGTGCTACTCTGATATTAGAAGAGAACATTCAGTATTTTCCCAGCACCTTACCTGTGGGGAGCCATCTGATCCCTGGTCCTTGGTTTTTCTAGCAAGCCTTTTCTTCTTCTTGTGAAGCGGTTTGGACTCCAGGATCATTTCCTCCAGCTCAAATGTGGGGTCACAGTTTAATCTCCGCCTCTACAGAAACACAGAACCATGCAGGCAGACATTAAAACCAACAACCAATAGATCAATGGGTCCAAATATTGAATCTCATTCAAATGTAAAGATAAACTCTAAATGCCAAAATATTTCAATGACGGTTATTATAACTGTGTTTCTGCAGTGCACTTACCTGTCAATAAGTCAGGATATGAACTATGACTGTGTGCATTTCATTTTGCTCGGGTATTCTGTTAAAGTAATAGGATCATTGTTGTTGTTTCTGAAAATACACACAGTTGACATTGACAGCAGCAATTTTAAGTGCTTTAATGAGCTGTTTATTGCTTACATTTGTCTTACAGAAGTGTGTGCAAGATGTATGCTTACTGTATGTGATCAAAACAAAGGGAATACAGAATAATGTAAGTGCCCCTTTTAATTCTACAAAAAAAGACAAGGCTCAGACAGCAAGCAGGTCAAATCAGACTTAATGCTGGGAAGTTAGGAAACACAGCATCAGGAGAGAGTTCTCCCTTTCTGTTCTGGCATTATAATAGTCTATAAAGGACTAAAGACAGAGGATAGGCCTATAATTAGATAGACACTGTCAATTCCCTATCGATCCTCTGTACTGTTCGTCTGATGTGCCAGCCTGCCCGCTGGGGATGTCCGCTGCTCTGCACAGTCACAGTACTCTCAAAATGTGATAAATTAATTTAGTCATCTTTTCCTTTTCAGAGTCATTATTCTGCACGTATTCAACCCTGGCACTAAAGAGTGACAGTTATGGTCACCTTGCTGCTTCACTAAAACAATTCAGTTTTTGTATTGCTTTTTGTAATCTTTTTGTAATCTTCCAACCAAAACTCTGTTTTTTTTTTTTTTTTAAATGTAGGTTGATATAAACAAGATCCAAGATGTTATTTTACACTTAAAGATGGGGTAGGTAAGTTTGAGAAACCGGCTCGAGATACACTTTTTGTTATATTCCATTGAATGCTCTTAACATCCTAATAGCAATGAATATCTTAAGTGCTTTGACAAAAAAATCCATAAAAAAATTTCCTCTGAGGAAGCCGTAGTACTGTAAAAAGCACGACGAATCATCTGAGCCGGCCCGGCTAAAATAACTGGAGTGCCAACCTGCTTGTCAGCCTTCCATCTGTGCACAAACTTATCTCGTGCCCTCATTGGTCATGTGCGCGTTTGTGTGTGTTGGAGGAGGGGCTCTGTAAGGAAGTAGCAGATTTCTTCTGGCTGTGTATTTTCAAATTCCAGCGCACTCGAGCTGGTTTCTCCAAAATGACCTACCCCCACCTCTAAGGAAACTGTGACTGTGCACTTTATAGTACAAACTTTTTTTTTATTTGTCAAGAAAACAATTAGTAGATTGTAAGTATAATCATTAGATGGAGGCATAGCCATAATGACTGTATCTGCTAGAATGAAATAATTAATTAAGTAACATTGGTTAGCTCCATGGATACAGTATTTCAAAGGAGGTATACATGCAGGGTGATTCAGTACTCCAGTGACATCTGTATTTTTTGTTTATTTCTAATGGCAGTTGTTAAACTGAATGAAATGAACTGGCCTTTTTTACTTGTGTAAGCTTTCATTCAGATGTTGTGTCACACCTTCAGAGTCTGCACAGTTACCAGCTTTAACTGGGGACATTTAATCAGTGCAGCTAATTTAAAGAGCTGACACTACAGAGAAAGCACAGCCGAGCAGCTACACTCACAGCATGTTGATGTATCGGGCAAACACTATCTTCCCCTTACTCGTCATAAGAATCCAGAGACCGACCGCAGAGCTGCAGGTAGACATGCAGAGGCTTTCTCTGAGGCGTGTGGCTGTGTTTTTTTTGTCTTTGTCTCTGAAACTGGATGTTTACACACAGTGGGAGATCTACTTAAGCCCAGCGGAGGGGGGTGACTACAGCCCAAATATAACATATTAGATTGGGAGTGGGTAGCTCTGGCTTCTTCAAATTCTGAAATATATATAAATGAAAAAGAAAATGATGCCTTCATGGTCAAAGATGTAATTTATCGTATTTCTTAATTTTGTGTGGGTGTGGTTCTGTTTTGAAAGCATTGGACAGTGCTGTACTTTTTGCCGACGTCAGAAAAACACTCTTCAGATTTGAACATTTTGTTGGGTAGAACACTGTTTATTTCTGATACTCACATTGGGAATAAAACCTGGAGGAAGCAGTTTGCTGAGCACAGCGTCCCAGTTGACATCTGACATGTAGTCCAGATCCTGCAGCTCTGCTAGACAGGAAATGCGATTCTGGACATCTATGCACAGCAACTGAGGGAAACAAAAGGATTAGAGTAATAACAATTGTCCACAGGGAGGCATGGCAGAAAAGTTGGAGGCTTAGTCCCACTGAGACAACAGCACATGTTTGCCCTAAAGGATGTGAATGAGGATACAGCGATAAAGAGGATGGGGGTGGAAGACTTTAAAGGAAAGGAGAATAGAGGATGGAGAGAGAGGGAGGGAGGGGAAAGCAAAGGAGGAAAAGTGAATGACGAACATATAGGAAGGAAATGGTGTTGAGGAAGATTGAAGGGGTCGTGAAGTGTGAAGGACAAATATATGGAGCATGGAATTCTCCCCTTACATTCTCACTTTCTTTACATCTCTCTCTTTCTCTTTAACTCTCCTTTTTCACACACTCTCTCTTTCACTCCCACACACACATACACACATGCCACTGGAATGCCAATGAGGTTCAGGGAGTCTGAGCACGAAGCAATGCAACAGTTTGACTGCAGTGGATCGCTGCCAAGACAAAACCCAAATACTATAGCCACAGTGTGTCTGTTAGCTTTGCCAGTGGCTTAATTGAAACAAAAATAACACTCTTTGGCAGTTAATTATGCATAGGCTGTTAAGATCTAAGGATATGCTAATATACAAGTTTAAATGAAAATACTTCTAAATGATTGTAATTAAGGAGTGAAATGAACACTCACTTTTTCCAGTGCCAAGATTTGTACTGCCCTGTGTGTTTACACTGTACCTTTACATCATATAACAATAATACAATGAGTCACAGTTCTTCACTAACGATGTCTTTTTTTGAATACTGATTAATCTAGATTTTGATCATTCTAAAGCAGCACTGCCAGACTTGTTTTGCTTACGTGTACAACACTAGAATACACAGTAGGGTTGCAATAATTAAAGTTACCCTAATTAAGATTCTGGAGATGTACTTTGTGCGCCCAAATTAAATGCTGGTGTCAGGTATGGATAGTTATATTCCCACTGGAACTAAAGGATTCAAGCTGAAGAGCAAAATCCCCCCAAAACTGGCAGAGGGGCTACTTAGAAAAAGCTATACTCATCAAGATTAGCTCATTGCCTCCCTCGTCTGTTAAATATTTATTACAATAGTACAGTTGTCAGATTGGTCAACATTTTCCATGTCATTTTACAGTATTGTAGTATTGAGTAGTGTGGTTTTGGCTTTTTGCCACCAGGCATAATCTATGTGAGAAGTTGGCAAGTGCAGTTTGAAATAAATGACCAGTTCATTCTGGAGGCGTGGTGGACCAAATTTTAAGAACTATCTGTTGTACAATATGACACCCCCACCCACCCAGTTTGGACAGAGATCAGCCCTACACTACAAAATCACGGGGGATAGTCACTCCATGTCCTGAGCTTAAGATGGAAGGCACATATTGTACACTGTACACACCGTATTTATTATGTAGGAGTGGGCGCTTAAGTCGTTGTCAGTTCACATGGGGAAGACTTATTAACAACAACACTGAAAGGCAGACATTTTACATATTACTGAAGGGCTGAAGAGAAACGGCATTAACTAATACGTGATAATCAAATAAACTTATTATTTTAATAAAGCATGTATAGGGCCAGACTCAGATGCTGCTCAGTGTGGTTTTACTAGATGTCAAACCATACTTTTACAGTCATTTATTAACATTTTCGCACACATGGAAAAAATCCACCCCCTGCCCTGGTTGTACAGATCTTCGTTGAGTCCAATGGCCTTTGGGAAGTAATTGTTGTTGTTTTGTTTTGTTCTGTACATGAGTGGTGATAGGAAGATACGTATAAAGTGAATGTATCTGCTCCTACAGTATATTGTGCGTTATGCATATGTGACACGCCACTCGGTTACCTTTCTGAGTAGAGACTTCATCTCCAAAGACCAGGATGCTTGGTAGCTGGGATGGACCTTGTGAAAGGTCTGCAGGATCTCATTAGCCGGTGTACTGGATCTCATCACATATGGTCTCTGAAAAGAGGGGAAGAGAGGAGACAATGTTACAGAAAGCTTGTGTTCAGTGTCGGGAGGAGTTTGTTTCATAACAGTCTCAAAGTTTGTTATAGAGTTAGTCCTATATACACTCTGTTCCTCTTATGCTGTACTCGCCCTCTGTGAACCCATTTCCTGCACTGATGAGAACAAATGATAGAAGAAACAGAGAATAAAGGACCCTTCTCCAAGAAATACAACTCTTTGCTTTTGATTGTGAGTGGGCAATTTGTGGGTCAGAAAACAAGGAAAAGCCTGTTGAAAGTTCTTATCACCAGTCCTTCTCCACTCTCGAGTCTGGGACGGAAAGACTCCTCAAACTCGAGTTGGAGAATGTCAAGACACAGCTGGGTCAGACTGTTTGAAGGTGGACAGTCCTTCCCTTTGCCTGCGTCTCCCACATTGTTTTTTTTACGATACAACCCTGACCCTGATTAGTGAGAGAAGGGTCCATCTTCTCAGCAGAGCTTGAATGAAGTAAGATGTGGTTACTGGAGCTTAGGAAGAAACAAGATAAAGTAAAGGCTGAGAAGGGATGAAAAGGCGCCTGGAGCTGGATAACAGTGAGCTAACACTCCATTTTCAACAGCCAAATAATTCTGCAGGCTGGTATTTAATGCCATGAGACTGATTTATACTTTATAGATGATACAACATTTGGGGGAGTCAAAGAAAAGTCTTGAAAGGTGTAGTAGAAAGTCCCTAGGATACAGAGGGATGAAGTGAACATAAATGTGTTGGGAGACAGCAAGGAGTGCAGAGAGAGGGGTGAAAGAAAGTTTAGGAGAGGGAACTTATGAAAAGGGGCTAAAGTCTCTGTCACTCTGGTTAATTTCCGGCTGTTTAAGTGTACGCTCGGCAATACTTTCTTGAATGAGTGAAGGTTGAAAGTTCTTGAAAAATCACAGGACACAGCTTTCGGGTAAGAGAGAAGACGAGTGTAGGTGTGATGCAGCTTTGAGGTTAGAAAGAGGACAGAACATAAGCTGTTCATTGGAAGGTTTTTGCTCAAATAAAGCTTTTTCAGTGGGAGTAAGATATAACAGAAAGGACAGAATGCATATTAGAAAGAGAGACAGAAAGTCTTTGGGTAAAATAACTGTCAACGGTTTTATGGATGAGGTTGAAAGTGAGAGCACTTCAATGTTGCAATAGGAGAATTGATTTTAGGATCACTTGATGATAGCTCCAGATCAGTTTCAGGTGTTCTGGGTCCTTGTCGGTGTAGACAGAGGGTACTGTAGTTTGAGTAATCACCATCCTGAAACATGAGAGAACATTCTGGAGCTGCAGCCTAAGTTGAGTCCTAAATACAGACTGTTGTCTAAGACTCTGCCAGATATAGCTGGGGTATTGAGTGGAAGCATTATACCCTGTGTTTATTTTCATGACATCAGAATTGAACTTCTTCAAATGGCACCTGCATGAAATAAATAAATAATACTTTAAAAAAAATCAATTCCAATTATGTGGCTACCTCTATTTTCTTATTCTCGTGAACCAAATTGTCTCTCACCATGACTAAACATTTGAACATCATCCTCCACAGTAAGGTTAGCTTGAACTTAAAATTCAATTAAAACGTCACCCCTGCTTTATTTTGTCAAGGCTCAGGCAAATGACTCGCGAATCTATAACACTATTTTAGGTGTCATGTATTATTCACTGCAGTAAAGTGTGCAAGGCCATGCTGAAGTGAATTGCGATATAAACAACAGGATATTACTCTGGCCTTATTCAGACCTAGCATTAATATCAGTCTTTTGTGATGTGGTCAAAAGTGGACAACTCGGGAGTATGTCAGTTGACAACTAGCAATAGAATTTGTTTCCATTTCATGTGATAGTTCCCACATAAACTAAACATTATATACAGAGTTTGACTGTGTGTCGATAAGGCGTTCTTTTCTTCACTGGACAACGATATGTGTTTGGTAAGTTTGGATATTTGGGTACATTTTGTAATGAAACCAAAGATCTTGGTGGTTTATGTGACATAAGAAATACATCAAAAATACTGAAGAATATTCTACCCCTACCGACGTCATGGACAAAGCCAGCGAGTTGTCGTTTAGTTTTTCCCATGCCTAGAACATCAGTTGAGTAGGAAACCCTTTAATGTGGCCGAGGACACATTTACTGCTTTAAGAGTGTCGCCCTATGCTGCCTTGACCACCCCAAAACGGGGTCTCTTGGGTGCATTCACACTTTTACTTTGAACTGAAAGCTTGTGATCCCTTAAAAAAGGATGCATGTTCATGCCAAATCAGAACAGGGCCTCTGGGTGTGTCTCTTAAGCTCCTTTCATCAACACACTCCAACCTTGAAATGATCTAGACTTTATCAGAATGTGGGAAAGCAAACGTCAAAAATCAGTTGAACACTGATGTTTAGCGGATTTAACCGAGCTAACTTCCAAGTACCAAGTCTGTGTAATCGATCGAGCCCATGTGTGAATACAGCTGCTCATTCGCCAGAGAATTTAAAGGTCCCCTATTATACTGTTTTTCATTATTATAGTTCTCAGATATATACAAACATGTCTGTGAAGTGTTTTGCTCGAAATACCAAACAGATCATGCATTGCAACATCCCATAATCCCCTCTGTTTCAGCCCTGTTTCAAAAGTGCTGATTCTATGTCTGTTACTTTAGATGAAAATAAGGAGCCACTCCCCACGCTCCTCTGAAATATATTTGGTGACAAAGAACACAATGGTGCTCTAGGAAGAGATTCAGGTGATAAGGTGGGCGGGTGTTACCTTGGTTGGTTATTGGCTAATGGCTACACAAGCAAATAAATCGTTATGACATCATAAAGTGACCAAAATCTGATCAGCTCATTTTCAGACAGGTTTTTATATAAATGGATCAGGACAAAAAGTGAGCAAATATTTTTTCCTGAAACTTTCAGAATCTCTTTACACAGAGGGGACACATGTTTATTTATACAAGACACGAAAAAATGTATTTTGCATAATAGGTGACCTTTAAAGGGGAAGTGTTGATGGCGTTCATATGACGAAATGGCGTTAGTTACCTGTCCTCTTAGTAGCTCATAAGCTGTGACGCCCAGCGACCACCAGTCGACCGAGAAGGAGTAGCCGGGATGGGACCCCTCGAAGGTTTGGAACAGCTCAGGAGCTGATGGAAAAAAATATATACCAGAAAGTGAAATGATAGTATATTTCTTAGTGTGTGTGTATTGTGATCCTTTTTTTTTGTTTTAAAGTCTTGTCTCTTTGTAATTCAGACACAGTCCTTCTTACATAAATGTTCCATAATGTCTGTATTCAGGCATACTGTAGCAGAACTGTTGCAGAAGGAGTTGAATAGTGATAGACTTTAAAACCTGCTTTGCAGTTGAAGAAGTCTTAATTAATGACCATCATTACTGCGCTGGACACTCGTTCCCTCTTCTCACAGTGAATGCCCTCATGAATGTTCTCATCAGGTTTATCATCAGATGCAATTGCCATAGAGTAAGGCTGAAATAATAGCTTGGGAGTACTTTGGATGTTGGAAGTGTTACAGAAGTGTTACCAGGCCAAACCCAGTCAGATAATCTTTTATGTAAAAAGATATTTGGGTGTTTATTCATACACAAGACTGATGTGTAAAGTCGCTGTCACATTTAAATAACATGTTGCATGTATTGGGGTTTTTGAAGCAGAATAGCACGAGCTGTACAGAATATGTAAGACCTGTTGTAACTTCAGCTTCTTCTGAAAAGCAGACGGCAAACTGTTACACAGAATAGGAAACATCTGAAATAAAAATAACATACATTTCTCCCTTTTTGCCACAGGCAGGTACTGATAATCAGTACCTTATCTGAGCCAATGTAAAATTATAATGCATTTTTTCTGAATCATTGATGAGACAAGTCTTTCTGGGATTGAGGAGCTATCAACACCTTTAAATTGGCTGGTTAGGTTTTTCTACCTCCTGAAGAAATGAATAATCTATTATAGGGAAAAGGTGGTTCAACTGTAAGCTGGTTTTAAATGGCCAAGAAGAATTTTCATCACACATCACTTCTTCTTTATCTGCATTACACTGTCAAAAATCTTAACTGAGAGAAAGCATACATACTCAGGAACACACACACACACGCACGCACGCACGCACGCACGCACGCGCCACGCACACACACACACACACACACACACACACACACACACACACACACACACACACACACTCTCTTCCCTGCCATCAGGTTTGCTTTGTTCCCTTGCTGAAGAGGACAACGTTTAGTTTATTCACTGAAGCTTCTGAAAGAGTCATGATTTCCTTCTTCCAAGTGTACCCATAAATTATCTATTACACTACAGAGTATTGGCCTGAAATCACACTTGGTTACAAAGTCATTTTCTATCATGAGCACACACTTAACAACAGGCGCACGCACACACACGCCCGCGCTGTCTCGTCATTCATTTCCCCCTGAAATCCTGTTAAGCTCCTATCTGATCTCTGAGGAGCTGAATCCACATCAACATCACTTCTGTACTTAAGAGTCATGAAGAGGGCGATGCAGCGTTGCTGAAAATGTTGGTTTCGAAAGGCAATATCTAAAATGTTAACACTACCCTAAGGTTTCCGACTCATGCATTCAAATTCAACAAAGATGCATACTCTATTTGGGAACAGAAGAAAGGCACACACAAAAGGGGAATGTATCAATATTATCTTTATCCAAGCTAATAATTGTAACATAAAAGGCCTCCTAAGCATTATTTATTCATTAAGCTCCCTAAGCCCTCAACCTTCACTTTGTGCCTCACAACAAAGTACTAGCATTTTGGTCAATAACCAGCCACTTATTTTTAGCTGTGTCTTGTTCCTGGCAATGGGGCGGCAAATATTGACAAAAGTCAAACTCTGTGAACTTGGCTTTATGGTTTTTAAACGGAAAAAATATATCATGGCCAAGTGACTGCATTGAACAGGAGCATTCTCTACTTTTCTTCTTAAAGCTCAAAAGTATTTCTTATGTGTCTGTCAATCCATCATTCATTCCCTCATTATTTTTAAATGACTGTTGAATCAAACATTTTGTATTTGAAACTGTAGACAGAATCATAACCTGAATCTATTCTTAGTGTTGCGTGTTGGCCCCTCACATCAAGTGATGAATGAACAGTAAAAAGTCTCAAAACAGCAAAAGGAGGATGCTTCCTCCAGTGAAAGGAAGCTGGGCTTAACAAAGTTAGTCTCCTCGTTGTCATTGGAAACATAAGCATCCTCTGTGGAGTTTATCTTGTTACATCCCTTAATTTCTGTACAGCACATTGTTTCAAACTGTTTCCTTTAGCTTCTGTTTTAAATAATGTGTTTTCTTACCCATGTATGGCTTGGTCCCAGCAATGGACGTCGCTTTCAGGTCTTCTTTTACGATGGCTGCGATGTTGAAGTCTGTCAGATGGACGTGCCCTGTAGAACAGAGGGACGATATTAACTCAAAAGAACACAGACCATTCTCCCTAAATCCTAAAGTGTCACAGAGCTACAAGATCACAGAGCTCTACGAACACCATGAGTATAATGTTTAAGCTTTTTACTTTGCAATTCAATTAAACCCCAGCTCACACATAGCCAGACTTTAGGTTGCTTATGTGAGCGTTAGAGATGCAAAGCTCAGGATCATAGGATTTTATAACAAAACGTAATCCATTCAAATAATACGTTTGCCTAAAGCTCACCTGCAATCATGACGCTGCCACACTGATATCATTAAAGGGCATCGAAGGCAAATCATCTGTAGCTTTATTTCAATGGAATAAAATGTGTGTTGTTGATTATGTTGTGACAGAGCGGAAAAAGGTGTTTAAGCGGGAACCCTCTGTGGTTTCAAAGTCAAACCATTGACCTGTGTCTCGCCGTGCTGCAATATGGTCTTCTCCATGCACACTGAGCACACATTAATGAGCTCAATGTATGTGTGTGTGTGTGGGGGTTTGAGAGAGTGTGTGTGCTTCATACTGAGTTTTTGCCGCAGAGTGATTGTTTGGATGAAAGGATGTCCCCACTAACCACAGGAACGTGTGGTACAGTAAGTCCACACATACTGTATAGGCTGAACAGATGTACACTTTTTCTTTAAAGGCAGAAACAAACACAAATAACTGTGTGACTATTAAGCAGAGACAAGCTGGCCACAATCTCTACAGATAAGAGAACACAAATCTCCCTTTCCCTCATTCAATGGTTCCGAACTCTCCATTATCAAACCTTTTCATTATGTATTTTATATTCCACCGTTTCACTATTCCTTGTGGCCTCCCACATCTTCCTCTAGCTTCGTGTTTTCATTTTCTTTTCCCTCCATAAACCCTACATCTCATCCACTTAATGCTCATGCCTGCCCCTCTACCCCTCTGTGTCCTTTACCGTTTCAAATACGCCTGCATGCATTACTCAAAGCCGTGGTGTATGGGTGTAGCCGTGCAGTGAGAGGGGGGGTGCTTTGAGGGGACCATTGTTAATGCAGCCTGATGACTGTGACCAAGGTGCAGCAGGGCTGAAGCGTCCGACTTTAAGTGAAGCTTGAGTAAGAGAAGAATTTATTTTCTGTTTTCATATTTAATAATGTCTCCTGTCTCTGTTGCATACTTATCTTCCTTTTTTTCTGAGATTTGGAGAAGACTGATTTAGGACAGGAGTTTTACACGGTAGTCAGCAGGAGGAAATGAGAAACCATCATCAAAAATGTATTGGCTGCTGGGCCAGAAGTATCAAGTAGTAAAATAAAATGCTTAAACGTTTTACCTGGTGTACTGCAACTAGACATACAGCCTCTGGTGATCAATACAAGGCTTTCAGACTTTGCTCTTGAATAATGAATTGTTCATTTCCAATAGTAAGAATAATAGTGAGTGTATTTGTAGTGTAGTTTATTTAAAGAGAGGGCATTTATGGTTGTAACAGGACACACATTGCGAGTCAGAGGGATGGAATTAGTAAGAGAGAGATTGAGAGATGAGCTATGACACAGTTTTCAAATCTGCAATATGGAAAATGTACATCACAGTGGCGTTCTCAGAATACTTGTTGGCCACAGTAAATGGCTGTTTAGACTTTGCTTCCTGACTGGTGGGACCCATTGTCATTGAATCAAAGTGGATGACAGGGAGAGTGCTTTGATTTTAAAGTACCAATTCTCACTATAGAGTGGCTATCAACCACTGTCAGCCTTTGTGACGTCAAATGTTTAAATGAAGGCTATAGGCTGAAAATGACTTCTGCGGTTTTTGTTTTTTTGTCTTGTTCCTTTTACCGTTAGGATATAAAGATGTTATTTCGGGTCAAAGCCGTGTTTTAGAGTGCCTGAATATGACTGGATTATCTGCTTTTGAATGATATTAATGTTTTTAAGCCTTAATTACAGTTCTTTGTTGCATTTATTTTTTAAATCTAAGCTTCTATTTGATTCTTTTTATGGAGACCATTCACGATGTGCTCTAAATGATAGCTTCACATTGAAATATGTCAAATAACGCATGCAGGTCAGAGTGGTACTATTCTCTAAAATTCCAACTAAAGGTTTTGATTTAAAACCTTTAGTCAGTAAATGAGATTAACCCCTGCTTGTCTGCAGTCAAACTGTTCCCTGCGTGTGAGATTGGTGTGTGATGGCTGAGCGATGGTTCAGCAGGTTCCCTGGTGACTGAGTTATCTAATGTGTTCTACTGGGATTACCTACACAACTGTCAGGGGTTTGATCCTTAGGTTATGTCACGCTACTGCATGTCTCTTCTATTTTTAATTCTCTTGTCACTTTCTCAAAACACCCGCACAACTCAGGACAAATGTGTTACATACATGAGTATTTTAAGACTTTTTAACAGGAATACAGAAGCTTTATGTAACATGACTAAAACTACATTGGCGTTTTATATGAAGCAGGATAAAAGGAAGCCACAGAACTCTCCAATGCATTGTTAACACCATGTTAGCCTGCATGTATTGTTCCTATGAATTTCCAATTGTTGTTTTTGTTGTTAAAATATATACTCCGTATTTTTAAGACTTTTCCCATGAGTGTGTATGAGCCAAACATATGCACTATCACTGCAGTTTATCAGTTAGAGAGTAAAGGACAGAGCTGTGGTTTTACTTAAAATATCGACTCAATGTACCGCATGCTTTTAAAGCATACGTACAGGCTCACAGTGGATAACAAACAGCCTCTTGGAGCTTCTCTCAGCAATGTGGGGCCATAACATTTAACAAAGCAACATTGCACGTGCATGAGTTAATTTGTTTTTGTCTCCATAAAGCAGCTCCCAGAGGAACGCCTGAGCAATGGATCAATTTCCAGGTTGCAAAATTGACATGGTTTGCAAAAGCAACCTCCCCCTCCTCCCCCCGTTGTTTTAGCCTCAAGTGGTGAGGTAAACTAAATATCTGCATAGGATGAAAAAGTGTGAGTAGAATGCATGATGAGGAAATAACTGCTTGTTTAGTTTGCAAGGACAGGCAAGCATGCAGAGAGAGAGAGAGAGAGAGAGAGAGAGAGAGAGAGAGAGAGAGAAAGCTCAGGGATACTTTGTCTTGAGTTTCTTGGTGATTTAAAGACATTTTAGCACCCTTTTTTGCCACAACAGTTAAATAAGTACAACTTGAATTTTAATTTGCCAACAAAAACTTATCCTAACATGAAATCCAGCTGTTTTCACATGAACTCTGAATCTTACTGAGTTTTGTGTTTTGGTTGAGTATCACATGCATGCAGTGTGTGAGGGAGTTGATGTGTTAGTATTGTGTGACTGTTTGAAATCAGATGAGTGGATGGATGGAGATTGAGAGCAAGCAAATGAACCGCATATCCCAGAATTCACCAGCAGATGCCCAAATGTGATTAAAGACGGGGGTGAAGTGCATCATGGGAAGTAGGAGCGAGTGATTCCAGCAACCCAGTTACCACAGATCGTCCTCCCATGACAGCTCAGAGATCTCAAAAATGAAGTTTTATTTGTGTATTAAGGAGATTGTTTATCAGTAATGACACCAAATGCAAAGTGGTGAATGGCCAAATCAAGACTGGGTGTATTTTTGCTTACATATGGGATATTCTTTTCCAATTTTGGAGAAAAACTTCATTAAGAAAAGTCTCTGAACTGTCATTCAACAGTGAGGCGAACAGGTGTGCAGAGCCACTGGTCGAGTCACAAACAAAGTAGATTTTTGGGGTATTTAACAATAATTTGAAGTGCAAACTGACTCCATATCGGACATACAAAGTTGTGAAAATCTCAGTCTGTTGTGACTTGTCCCAGTGGCAGCACACGGATCATTTGAAAGAACAAACCAGACTGAATCAAGTAGAGGTTCATGTGATCTTTTATCAAACAGGAAACAGATGCAACAAACAGTTCAGTAGTTTTGTAAATAAAAAGATGGAGCGAGGAAGAGGAGGAGGGATGCAGGGAGGGGTGGGGTTAAATAAAAGGATGGATGGAGGGTAAATACATGTGGGTTGGACGGAAGAGGAGCAGGATGTAAAGGAAACACCAGTCAGAATTAAACATGCACACTATAATGTCCGTCATCATAAAACACACACAAATGCAAACACACTCACACATTATCTTTTACTATAAAATATCTATTTGTTTAATCCAATAATGAGTCAGTGTTGGACTATTTCTTTAAGTTTCAGTTGTTATAAGTTTAGTTTTGTGGATTTTTACACTTCTGATCTGGTATTTGACTTGATCTCAAGCTAGCACCTGAGAGGATATCATGATAAAGACACTTATTTGACAAAATTACAGTTCGTTCATTCGTCATTTCTCAGGTGGGAATTAAAACCATCCAAAAACGATGCTTGGTAAATAGCAGGTTAACTATCGACACCAAACTTTCCATATAGTTTAATATAAATAATATCATCTTTTAGTGTCCAAGACTAAGAACTTTGTGCGTTCAAGAATAAAAAAAAGACTTGCAGATGTTTCTTATTGACCAACTGCATTCACTCAATTGGTCTTACGTGTGTGTGTGTGTGTGTGTGTGTGTGTGTGTGTGTGTGTGTGTGTGTGTGTGTGTGTGTGTGTGTGTGTGTGTGTGTGTGTGTGTGTGTGTGTGTGAATAAATCTCTACAACTGAATGAGTCTACGTGCATCATACCTTGTCTCCTTTCTCTCCTTCATATCCGTCACTGCGGCTCCCCTGAAAACAGCAAGGGTTAACAAAATGCAATTGGAAGAACAACAACAACAACATTAAAAGGATGAAATGTATTGCATTATAATATAATATAATTAATCAATGTGCTTCATTATTTGACTTACCATTGGCCCTGGGAGACCGGGAGGACCAGGTGGGCCCTAAAGACAGATGAGAGAATCGGGAATAATATTCACTCTAATGAAAGAAATGAAAACTAACAATGTTTAATTCCTATTCATGCTTTTCAAAATCTGATAATCATCTAAAAAACTAAACATTTGCACATTTAATAACATTTGTATTGATAATAATAACAACAGTATATTACAACATACAAACACAAAATTCATATTATTTACTATTTAAAGTGAAAGAGATTAATGAATGTACGTACAGAGTATCCCTCGGGCCCCATTGGACCGGGGTAACCGGACGGACCCTCAGGACCTCTGATTCCCTGCAGAGAAACACAACCATACAAACATTAACATTAACACATTAAATCCTCAGGTGTTTAATTCTGTATTAATGATCATTTGTGGTTGCATAGTAAGAAGAACAGGTAAGAATCTTACAGGTTGACCGTTTTGTCCTGGATAACCTGGTGAACTCTAAAAAGGGGAAAAGAAACACAGATTAATTAATAAACAAGACTCAAAATCCTCTTGATTACATTTTAAATAGATTTATGAAATACATATCTTCAAATAAAAATACAGGAACATTCGTGTACAGATTAGAGTCATGCAAAGTTGTACCGGTGACTCAAAAGTCACTTCGTTTTTGCAATACAATTTTACAGTACTGTCTCTAAAGCGCCATCTAGTGGCCAAACCTAATATGACAGGCTGTTCAGACCCTCAAGTACAATGCAGCTGGTAACAAACATGAGGATAGAAGTTACAAAAAAATAGCAAATATATAAAAAAAAAGTCAATTCCAATGTGTTTTTTTATGGCTCATCTTAATATGTATTGTACACATTTGTGCAGATCAATATCACGTTAACTTTATATACATATTATTACATGTTATAAGAATATTTTACTGCTTTTGTTTCAATAAACATTATGCAATTAATTTTTTTAACTTGCTATTTTATATAAATATTTGTATACCATCTTATTTAATCGTTTTTGGAAAATCTTTTATTTGAACTTGTGTTTTTATAAATATTTGTATTCTTTTTTTATTACACGTTTTCTTGGGAACTTCTCATAATTATAAGAATATTATACATTGTAATATTGCACATTTTTACTTTGACTTCACAGTTTGCATAAATACTCTAATTTAATGTTATTTTTGTGTATTATTTTATTCTAACAAATCAAGCAAAACCCCAATTTTCCCCCTAGATAAAAAAAACTAATCTGATTCTGATCATAATTATTATTAAATCATACACAAACAAATATTATCCTCAGTTCTTTAGTTGCAGAAATACATTTAAAAAAGAGTAAATTGTGAAAATGACCGTGGAACCGTCGTCCGAGATGTATCGAGGGTCTCCTTTCTGACCCTTTGGCCCAAAAGGCCCCTGTGTGAGGAAAAGAAACATCAGTACAAATCGACAGTAACATCTGCATTCCATACATAATGACATCCAAACATCTACACATATATATAATAAGTCCTAAAAGAGAGTAGGTTTGTCCTCACAGAGAGTCCAGCGGGTCCGGGCGCTCCGATCCCGTAACCGGGGTCTCCGGCTTCTCCTCTCGTCCCGTTACAGCCGTCCAGTCCAGAGGGTCCTCTTCCCCCGTCCAGACCGGGGTGACCCTACAGAGGAAGAGGGGGTTAGAGTTACATCTTATATACACCCTATACACACTGACAGCATTACATACACTACAACATGACATTTTGAAAATGGTCAAAATACAAATTGAAGGCACATTTTGTGTCAAAACAACAAAGTATATGGCAATCATCTTTAAAAAATGAAGAAAAGATTGACTGTTTTATAATTATAAGTACGAAAATAATATCTGTGTGTCAGAATAAACGTCATATCAGAAAATAAAACAAATGGAAATAGACTGACCTTTAGTCACAGATTATTAACCAACATTTTTAAGATTTTTTTTTTTTAAAGCATGATACAATTGTTTAATTTCTGTATATTTATCATTGCATATCCTGCTGTTTTACCATGAAAGGGGCTACTACATCTGCAATTTCACTTTTTTTAAGCACACAATTAAATAGTTTCTTTTCAAAATCAAAATAAAAGATGTTAGCTGTCCGTTGATAAAATAATCTATAGCTATTCTTACTCTAAATGGCCTCAAAAGAGCCATTATATTTAATTTAACCACTTCTTAAATACACTGCATATTGAGTGTGTTTGTGTGTGTGTGTGTGTGTGTGTGTGTGTGTGTGTGTGTGTGTGTGTGTGTGTCCTAGCATTACTATACTTGTGGGGACCTAAATCTGTTTACACAGTCATGTGTGGGGACTTGCCTCCCTTATGGGGACATAATGGAGGTCCCCATAAGGGGAATCATTAATTTTAGGGTGAAGACTTGGTTAGGTTAAGGGTAAGGGTTAGGGTAAGGGTAAGGTTAAGGGTAAGGGTTAGGGTTAGGGTAAGGTTAAGGTTAAGGGTAAGGGTTAGGGTTAGGCATGTGTTGGTTATGGTTAAGGTTAGGATAAGTCTCCAGGAAATGCATGTGAGTCAATGTAATGTCCCCTGAAGTGATGTATACATGGTATATGTGTGCGTGTGTGTGTTTACTTACAGGTACTCCATCAGTTCCCCGGAACCCAGGCACTCCCATAGGCCCCTGTTTGAGTACATATTAAATATAGTTAAATCACGATCAGATTAAATGAGAACACATAGAAATGAAAACATATGCAGTCAGTTTTAGTCATCAATTACAATCAAATCAATATTTAAATTCAGATAATGAACGTCATGGTCTTTAACACCCACCTTGTCTCCTTTCTGTCCAGAAGGTCCTTTATATCCGAGGTGGCCCTTCTCTCCTTTGGGCCCTGAGGGTCCCGTTCCCCCCCGAGGACCCTCAGGTCCACTCGAACCCACTTCTCCAAGATGCCCTGGACGACCCTGAGGGAAAAGAAAGACAAAATGTAAAAACAGGGAAACACAATTTGTTGGGGCAGCCATTTTGGATCCGATGTTTGTGTTTACGTGAGACGGAAACAAGTCAGGGCGGGAAACCCAGCTGGTTGGTGGAGCAGTTTGTGTGGGCAAGCAGCGACATGTGGACTAAGAAGGTGGTCTGGAAGAGAAACTGCTACCGGGGGTAAAGAAGCAGGATTTTGAGAAATATATTAAAGGGGTCCTATTCTGCTCATTTTCAGGTTCATATCAGTATTTAGTGTCTCCACTTTAAAGAGTCCTCTCCTGCTGATGTTCAGGTGTATATCAGTATGTAGTGTCTCCACTTTAAAGAGTCCTCTCCTGCTGATGTTCAGGTGTATATCAGTATGTAGTGTCTCTACTTTAAAGAGTCCTCTCCTGCTGATGTTCAGGTGTATATCAGTATGTAGTGTCTCTACTTTAAAGAGTCCTCTCCTGCTGATGTTCAGGTGTATATCAATATTTAGTGTCTCCACTTCAAAGAGTCCTCTCCTGCTGATGTTCAGGTTTATATCAGTATGTAGTGTCTCTACTGAGAAATGTCTCCATGCTTTAAGGTGCTGCAGCACCTCTTTTCACCCTCTGTCTGAAACCAGAGCCCAGTCTGCTCTGATTGGTTAGCTGGCCTGCTCTGTTGTGATTGGTGACCGCT